GTGTTCGTCCCAGGAAGTCGAACCCCTGTTACGAAAAACTTCATACATAGTAATCTGTATACAATAGGCCTAAGTCTTAAATGAAAGTGAAATTCGTTACATCTTTAACACTCAAAATTTGAGATTCATTTAGTTCACATTACATGTTAGAACATTTTGATATTTAAAGAAATTAGCTACATACAATTGGAAATAAAACCTACTAAAACCAAATCTGATTTGACAAAGATAAGTTTCCTTTTTTATTTAGTGTTGCCATAATAGGCCTAAGTTGTATAACTCGCTATATTTTTTTTTTTTTTATTAAAATTAACAAAATTTATAGAAACCAATATATTCATGCCTGTATGAAGCAATAACAGTGTTGTTCCTTTATCTGCAAAACCAAATCGACATGTGCCGTTAACCAGTCATTGGATCTGGTAGGCCTAGCCTGCAATCTTTAGTCCTATCCTTCCAGCTAACTAAAAGTCCAGAAATTAAATTTATCTTAAACACAGAGCCTCCTGGATGTCTAACAAAGTTACAGCAATGCAATAAACAATAATTAATCGTTACTAGATACCAATACAGAGATTTCTTTCAAAAATATACCTGCCAAATAATTCAAGTGTAGGCCTAGGCTAGTAGGTATGATACAGTTTATTTTATACTCATAAAACAAAGGAAAAGAAATTGTACAAGTCAGGGATTAAAATGAGATTAACAGAACTTTATAAAATAGTTTGAATCTTGAAAAAGTGTAACATTTTAACAGGTATGAAACTTTCTACAGGCGAAACGAACTAATCAGCATTTTTCTCTGAGTCAGTTTTGAGATCTTAATTAGTAGTTAATACAAATTCAACTTACCATTATTATGGGGTTGTGGGTGAGTCAGTCAAACATGGAATTTAAAATGATATCACTCAAACATATTTAAGGAAACAAAATTCAAAAGACTTTGGTAAAAGTTCTAGAGTGACAAAACGACATGATTCTTCACTGCAAGATGGCGAAGCAAGAGAAAAAGAAACCGGGACGCCGACTCAACTAACGACTGAAACCAAAACCCAAACTTAAACAACAGTAACGGATTTAAACATAGTCAAACGACTGGAAAAAGTAACACAAAATTAATATCGTCCACCAACATGATTTCCAATACGCCTTAAATTCTAAAACAAAGTAATATTAAATATCTCAAACAAATAAACTTCCACTTGATTTCCTATAACGTTGTCAATTTTCGGGTTGTCATTGCCGATGCTCCCAGTTCTACCACACACGCAAAATAAAATCTCAGCAACTCGGTGTTCTCGCACTATAAGAATGTTTTAGAGAAAACTCTCATCATTGATTAAGTTCTCTTATGACCCAAAAAACTGGTGACGGAAAAAATTCAAAAATTTCTGGTGAATTTCCGGCACATAGCTGTCAGCAGGTTTTTTGCAGAAGAGGTTTTCCTAAATCCAAGAGAATAAAAAAATTGTGTAGAAGTTGTTAAAAGGGAATTTATGTGGAGACATATGGCAAGTCTAAGATGAAATTCATTAAATTAGTTATACATTTTTAAATCCTGTATCGGTCAGTGAATTTTTAAACAGTAAAAATAGTTTAATTAATTTAATAAACTCAATTTTTTATCATTCAATACAAAACAGGCTAGATTAAAATTACAACCAAACATTCAGCTAGATGGATAAAAAATTATTCAAAGTAAACCATACAAAATTCCTTGGATTAATACTGGACGAGAATGAGTTGGGATAAGCACGTTGATCATGTAGTAAATAAAATGTCAACTGGCATATACACTCTGAGACTAATGTCTCATGTATGCAATATTGGCACTATGAAATCAATCTATTTTGCTCTGATCAACTCGCATATAGCTTACGGTATTGCTTTATATGGCGGGACTAGCAATAAAAACCTCAAAAAAGTTCTGAAACAGCAAAAGAAAGCATTACGTACAATTTTTAATATAAAAAATAGAAAGTCGACAAAATAATATTTTTCCAAATAAGGCATCATGTTATGACCTATTTGAAACCATTTTACATTTAAAAAAATCAAACACAAAAATACAGCTGAAAATCACATAGCCTACATACAATAGAACCACATAAATTACAGGTTTTTTTTTAAGAAAACTACTTTTATTGGTACTAAATTTCTTTATAATCTGCCTAAAAATATTCTTTGTGAAGAAAAATATAACAGTTTCAAAACCCGCCTTAAAGAATACCTATTGACTCATCCTAACTTTTCAAGTAAAGATTTTTTAAATTTAAGGAATGTAAAATACATGTTTTTGTATTAGTGTCATACAACAACATACAATTATTTGTAATTATCACATTTTATCTATATCTATAAAAGAGGAAGTTTGTATGTATATGTATATATATATATATATATATGTTTGAACGTTATGGACTCCGAAACCGCTCAACAGATTGTAATGAAACTTTCAGGAATTATTAAGCATCTTTCAAGGATGGTTTTTGTGAAGTTTGGTGCAGATCCGTCAAAAGGGCTCCGCCCCAGAGGGTTTTAAGTGGGACAATGTCAGACTTTTTGAACTACAATGTTTACAAATAAATATAATTTAAAAGCAGATGTTTTCTTTCACCAACTGTTTTGTAGGTTTGAATAATCACAACGTTCTGTATTAGTCATGATTTGAAATAGTGCCACAATGTTTCTACAGAGTGCAGCACAGAAAACTATTTTACTTTTGAATAAGTCCAAATATATTAAACCCCAATCGCAGCACACCTGTGCACTCAACAACGTTTAAATTCTCCAATGTTGAATATGTAAACATAAAAACCTTGATTAAAGTATTATCTTATCTTATCTTACTAATATTATAAATGTGAAAGTTTGTGTGTTTGTTTGTTTGTTTGTTTGTTTGAAGTTCAATCACGCATTAACGACTGGACGGATTGGGCTGAAATTTTGCATGATGATAGCTCACATTCCAGATTAACATATAGGCATATTTTTTCCTGAAAAATCCTTTCGGGCTCCGCCCCAGTGGCTCTGCAGTTTCCCATGTTCACCTTATGAGTAATCATATTAAAAGGGAATTAAAGAATTTTGTCAGCTGTTTCAACTAAAAAGTTGGTTCTATGATATGAAAAGCATTAAAAAGTTATACGATTTACCAACAGGGTGCAGCACTATTATTTGTTTTGCATTTATCATAACTACAGCAAGCAGCAACAAAAACTGTGATACGCAATGAGAACTGTCAAAGTAGGATTGTTATGTTTATGTTTTTAATTTCATGAATAATTTGTGATATTTTGCAAACTTTTAATAATTTATTTTTCTATATAGTTTAGGTGAAGTGGTAGAACATTATGACTATGGTGGATGTGTAATACTATGGTATACCGTAAATTTAAATAAGCAAATTTTATCAAACTGTGTCCTCCCCCATTGAAAATGCAAATGCAAAGCTCGAGTATAACTGCAATAAGCGTTTTATGCCGACCCCGTACGAAGGACGTGTACTCTGCTAATACTATTATAAAGAAGAGGTGGTGTATGTGTGTTTGTATGAGATAAACTATAAGCTACTGAACCGATTGGACTCAAATTGGACAAAAATCAAGCTACCGCTCCGACGATTAGAACTACCCCCCCCCCCCCCCCTTCGATATTGAACTAGTATCTGCTCCACGGGCTTTCAAAATTCTGAGGTGAGGGATTTTTAACTTATTTAATACGCAAGCAGGTTTTTCTGTGACATTTACTCCTCCGAAACTACTAAACCAATTGGCATGTTTTTGGTGTCATTTGGAAAGAGCGAAACGTGAAGTTGTGCAGGAAACTCTCTTTTTAGGGAAATAATTAGGGTGAGGCCATGGGGCCCTTTAAAGTTTCGTATTTCTCCATAAGATTAATGGGAAACAGACGTTGTTATGTAACTCCAGCTGTTGTCAGAAATTAAAAATAAGAACATATGTTAATTGTAAACATTATGTAATTTACACAACTATGTGGTAGGTTTATTTATGCAATTGATTATTGAAATGAAGAAAAATTCTATAACCATAAGTTATGAAAATTATGTTATTGATATATTTTAGTAGGGTAATTACAATGTAGGGCATACTACAAAAATGTATAAATGTAAATTTGATGGCTATTTGTTTAAAAATTCAATCTACTTAACAAGTGTTTGGATTAGGCAGTATGGACGTTTGGTACGTATCTTCCCGTTGCGAAGCACGGGCACAGCAGCTAGTAAACAATAAAAGGGATGGTAATGCCTTAATATTTTTATCATTTGTTCTATACCCACACAATCTAACATAAATTATTAAGTGAATAATAATCGTGCGTGCTATCTCAGGTATTCAAATGCCATTACTGGCATTAAAAGAAGGAACTCCATTAATACTAATGCGAAACTTAAATCCACTTAAAAGGAGAAATAGTCTTAATCCCAAGAATACTGATGACTTCATCCAAATTACCCTCTGAATTGAAGCAACTACAATTTCCTTTTTTTGTCTTTCTTTCCCAATCACCATTATAAGGCACTAGGGCAAACCCTGACTATCGTCGGTTTAAATTTTGAAAATGCATGCTTTTCACACGGACAGCTGTATGTTGCGTGCTCACGTGGTGGTAGGTACGTCTAAAAACTTATAGAAAAAACAAAAAAAATTGTTTAGGCCCTATTCACTGGCAATTAAGTAAAATATTCTATTTTTATTTTTGGTACACACTTTTATTATTCATCGTAAAGAACAAATTACCATTTACAATAATAGTTGTTAAGCGCAGCAACGCGCGCCGGGTAACTGCTAGTGTTGTTATAAAATTTGACCCTGTTCAATGTATTCATGTAAATACTAATAATGAATAAAGATTATTTGATTTGATTTGATAGATTGAAGCTCTGCTGGGAAACTGGAGGTGCTAGATTAATGATGATGATGAAGAAGAAGTGCAAAATCTAAATGAGGATGCAAGGCTAATTTATTGCTGGGACTTACCTCTGTTACTGACTTCTCCTTTCAGTTCTTTGTTAAAGTTGAAACTTTGGATAATTGATCTAACAAGGGAAGCTACAAACCCAATTCCTTCAACATCAATTTTAAACTTGTGTTGTCCTTTAACAACAAAATAATAATGCTAAAAATTTGAATATGTACCTGCATTTATGCAGTCCACAATGTTGCTATAGGGCAACCAGTTTCAACCATACCAAGTAGTTATATTGAGGCATACTAAAATGTTGTATTTCTATTGATAAAATTGATCAATTTTGTATCAACCAGAAAAAGATAGTTTATCAGGTTTATAAAAAACCTGATCGATTTTAACTTTGTCTCACTCATTCCGTGTTAGAGGTAGAAACCTCTAGTTTTCATTATTTGTTAGGGAAACTCAAAAAGTTTTATAATCAGCTGTTTTTATTAGCAGTACCTTCTTACATTGTTGTGTGATAAACAAAAACAAATAAGTAACATTTTACGATGGATCCTCGAGTGAAGACGCAGTATGTCGAGTGGTTAATAGAAACTAAGTCTCCTCTTGCTGTTCAGCGTGGATTTAGAAGGAGATTTAACGGAAATCCTCCTTCAAAGAACACGATAAAAGCATGGTATGAGAAGTTCATGACCCATGGGAGCATACATCACAGAAAAGGCAATGGTCGTCCAAGGGTAAGTAAAGAAAATGTTCAAAGAATTAATCAATCATTTCTTAATAATCCGAGACAATCAACAAGATCTGCAGCTCGAGAGTTGAATATTAAGCATTCCACTCTACACAAAGTGTTAAAAAGAGTTTTGCATTTTCGGTCTTATAAGTTACAGATAGTTCAAAAGATTACGCGACAAGGCTGGGCCAGACGCAGAGAATTTGCAGTTACAATGCTCGACCGTTTAGAAACTGACAATAACATCTTAAACCGGATATTTTTTTCTGATGAAGCTACGTTTCATGTATCAGGGAAGGTGAACAGACACAATGTCAGGATATGGGGATCTGAGAATCCTCATTTTCACCAGGAGCATACTAGGGATAGTGAGAAGGTGAATGTTTGGTGCGCCTTATCTTGCAACAGATTGATCGGCCCTTTTTTTGCCGAAAGAAATATCAATGGGACCATTTTCGTGGATATGTTGGAAAACTTAGCCATTCCACAGTTTGAAAATGGGCAACCAAACCTGATATTACAACTAAATGGCGCTCCACTTTATTGGAGACGGTTTGTTCGTGACTGTCTCGACGAACATTTCCCAAATCGTTGGATTGGCCGTGACGGACCTATACCTTGGCCACCAAGGTCGCCAGACATTACCCCATGTGATTTTTGTTTGTTTGGGGGTTTGTAAAAGATCGTGTTTACTCCAACAAAGTCAACAGCCTGGAAGAAATGAAGCAAAAGATCAGAGAAGCATTTGATGAAATTGATGTTCCGATGTTGTGGCGAGTTTGGGCAGATCTCGAACACAGACTTGATTATTTAAGAACTAATAATGGAAAACATGTAGAAATAAGATAGTGTGAATGTGTCATCGTAAACTTAAGGAAATTGCCTTTGATTTAACATTAATTTTAAAAATTGTGATGAAAAATAAAAGAGCTATGACTGTTTAAAATCGATCAGTTTTTTTATAAACACCCTGTACAATTTAATTTAATTTAACATCTTTGGTTTCTGTTTATATAATTTATTCGGTTTGATTCAACCAGTTGTAAGGAAGATTAATAACTTATTAAAATGCAAACAAAGTTTATACCGTAACTTTATCACTGTTTTGATTTTTTCGCTGTTAAGGAGACCAAGCAAACACTGCTATTTCCAAAAGCACCACTTAGAGCATTTTAAGGTCCACAGGGGGTTGCCTGAGAGGATCATGATAATCCCGTCATGATAATCATAAGGACATCATAAGCCATGTTGGACAGGTTCATGATCTACTTTTACGTAAATAAATGTCAGCCCATTATTGGCTCACCTAGAACAAATTAACAGGCACACAAATAAAAAGCACCCCATCTTTATAACATGATAGATTTTAGTATCACATACCTTGTTCTGAATATGAGAACTCCAAATTGTTTTTTATCCAATCCAAAGCTTCACTCAGAGCGAAATCAATCCCAAGAACAATTGAGCAAACAAGTATCAGGGCACATATTAGCCAAAACTCTTTGTTCTGTAACATTAGATGTATGTACTATCGGACAGCTAGGAAACAGATAGTTTCTTTGATACTTTTTGGATATGAATTCATACAAAATATATGACCACAACTATTGAAATAAAACTTAACTATTAAAAATAAAACCCTGCGAAGAGAAATGTGCCACAATGCATGCAAGTGATGTTAAGAGGACCTAGATTGTGAGAAACAACACTCAACTCAGTCTAAAAATCTTTGATGATTAAGAAAATCCAAAATAACAGGGCAGTCCAAGATCCAAGATCACTAACAGACAAGTGGAGACTCCTGAGAAGAATAAATAGGAGGTTGTAGAACTACATGATCTGAGGTTGTAGATAATGAAGATTCATTAAAGCAAGAAGGATCTGTTGAATGGAATGCTCAGAGTAAAGTGTTTAGGAACATGGTGCAAAGTGGGAGATAAATGCAAATATGGATGAGGAGATGGAATATCTGGTGAACTTTAAGAGGGAGAGACTGAAAAGTTCTACATCATCAACAAAGTGAGCCGAATGAAGTGAAATTGGGACAGGGTGAGTCGGTGGCTCAGTCGGTAGCGTCGCAGACTTCGGGCCCAAGGCAGTAGTGTCGTGGGTTCGAATCCTGGTCACTGCCACTAAATTTATCAGTACAGTTCACCTTTGTACTGTACCGGCTCACCCCTTGCTTTGCTGGATACGTTCCACGCACAGATCTGTAGTCTATGTGGACGGGCAAATGCAAGGTTAAAAGAGGCCACCAACCTCTTTAAAATAAAAAAATAAAATAAAAAATAAAAATAAAACATGGACAACAAGGCCTGACAGAAGAAAATGTAACTAAACTACATGATAAGTTAGAATAGACTGAAGTATGATATGTATCTCCTATATTATTAAAAGGATTTTTAGGATTTTCGTGTGCAGCATATCGACCCCTAAATATTTATTTTTATAGGCATATTGAGTATCAATTTAAAGCTCTATTCTCTGATGTGCATTTTGCCGGTTTGGATGATATCCCGTGAAAGCCCATGTCCTATAGGCTTTAAAATTTCATAGTTTGTGCTGAATTATTCTGTTGTCAATAATCTGAACTTTTTCAAGCAAACATTTGTTTACAAACAGATGACAATGATACAATTTTGTTTACATCCATACGAAAATGGGGTTTTCTTTAGTTGGTGATCTTTAAGTGAATTGAAGTAAAATGTTGTAATATTATTTGTATAAAATGTAAAGAAGAAAATTATTTATGCTAGATATTGTATTGTGATAGGATTTTGTGTTTTCATAGTATGTTTTATTGATGTCTTAGGGAATTCAAGTAAACTATTGTAATGTTATTTGTTTAAATGTAAAGAAGAAAATGACTTGCGTTAGGTTTTCTGTTTTCATTGTATGTTTCATTAGTATTTTTAGTTTTTCTAAGATGCCTCGAAGAAATCGTGCATACAATGAAAATAATAGGGCTTGCGGTGCAAATAATAGGAATATGATGAGACATAATTGTTTTCACCCTTATCAACTATACCTATATCAAATTTATACGGATTTTAAAGTCACAAAGTGACACAGGCTGCTAGTAGTTTTAAATATGTCATGTATCTAGTATTTTGTATCTAATGAAGTATTGTTAACTGACCTAGACTAGTTATTGATCTGACCAAGTGAGGTGGCATGCTTCTTCTTATTCGGGAGGTCGGGTTGTGAGGGGCTCCTCAATAATGGTCCTGACTAAAGAGCCAGCTGAACTTAGTCAGTAATAGAGCTCTTATCTCATACATTCAACACTCATTCTCCATTCTCTTTTGGGTGTCAGCATCGTAAAAATCTAATCTATTCCAAACATATCTGACATATTGAACTGTAGGCTACTACTAACCAAACCAGACTTTTCTGCCTTTGACAGTGACAGACTGTATGGATCAGCTGTCAATCTTCTCTCAACTTTGGTCTGTGGAAGCAGTGTTGATTTGCTGTATTTACGGCGTCGGGCATCCAAAACCCTATAATCTGCTGTTATATAAATGTTATCATAGTCTGTGAATCGTAGGTAGTTATTGTGGTAGGTTTGGGCACTGCAACAAAAGCAATCCAAATATGAGCTGGAAAATATCAGAGAAGAGGCTGGGTTGGTAACTAAGTAATCATCTCATCAATGATTATTTTTATTCCTCACCATTAAGTTTCGAACTATGGTATTGATACACTTGGAACTTAATTGCCAACCCAACCAAGCCTTTGTGATAAGAAATAAACAAAATACTTACTAAGAAAGAAAATTGGAAAACAAATATTAACATTCTTTATTTAATTACCGGTAGTGATAGAAACAAGAGCTGTTTGTAAGTTAAGGTCATTGAACTTCTGACGAGACCAGAGAGCTGGTTCATATCTGAGACCAACGCTGTGTTGTTTATGTAGTTCACAACAACTCCAAACAGCAGTTTCTACCCCTTCAAGATGATATGCCTTGTCTAATAGCTGAAAACGATATAAGGGAATATCACCCTTCCCACTATGTGAATCAGGTTTTTTGTGGTAAGGGGATAAGATAAACCCATATTTAAATTCATTGGTAATTAATATATGTGTATGCAAGAAACTGTTTAGACATATTATGACATGTGCACGAGAGGTTTAAAGAATTCTCAGAAGGCCATACATATTCGCAAAAACAGGATGGCACCGAGCATTCAACAATTTCCATCCGGTCAGAAGTCTATAGTCTTATAGAGCAGTCGCCTATCAGTTTCAATCACAACACAATCCATGAACAAAACTAACCCCTGGTCACTGCTTCTAGCGAAACTGCTAAAAGACTGTCATACACCATTGTGCAAATGATGATAACTACCTCTGTACCCCTCAACCACTTCATACTTTACTCCATTCACATCCACCAACTATTAATATTTGGTGGACGCCTTACACTACAGAAATCTTCATACTTGGTGGGAGCGTAGATTTTCCTTCACTTCGTAATTGACTAATTTGACGAGACCAATCGTCCAATAGGGGTGGGAACCAGCTAGAACAGTAGTGCATGATATAAAATACACAAGTTGTTCTCAACTTTGAACTGGCTTGTTTGACCACATCAGCAGTTCAATAATGACTTTAATTTACAAATAGCTCTTGTGTATGATAATAAGTAACCTTCTAACCTAATCAGAAAGATTTTAAAATCCACACATTAGTTATGTTTAAAAATTATACCTCATAATTATCTCACCTGAAAATTACCATTATAAACAAAAAAGCAAGAAAAGTTCTCGTAATGGTCAAGAAGGCATCGGCTAAAGTCTTTTTTAAATAAATTTCATGAATGAATTCTTTTGTAATTGAAACCACTGAGTGAAGTCCTACCTGAAAGAAGTTCATGGTTGTTTAGTAAAGTAGGCTATATGGTGGTTCTAAGTATTACTCGTATGTGTAGTTCAATGTCTTCAACGATTTTTGTTTTAATTTATATTTGTTTCATGACATTAGTATGAATAAAATAATAAAAGTGTTATACTGCTTAAGCAAAAGAGTTTAGAGAAAGACCAAAATTTTGCTGTTCACAATGATACAAAATTTCTCGGTTTGTACGTAGATTCAAATTTAAATTTGAACAAAAGCATGAAAATTTAATTAGTAGACTGAATTTGGCTTGTTATTAAATGATATGTTTAAGAAACACTATTGACTTAAAAACTCGTTGGATGTTATACTATGCATACTTATATTCAATTCTTCAATATGGAATATTTTGTTTATGCCAATTTTATTTTTATAGTTTTAGTTTATTTTAGTTTTTTATAACTCCTTAGTCTTAAGTTATTTGTATTTTGACAATATGACCTGATTTATAACATTGCTTTGCTATATTATGAAAATGTCGATTTATTTATTTATTTCATACAAACCCATATTAGTTAAGAATATATGTAGTTATTGAGCTTTCTGCGATGACGTAGAACCATTCTCAGCCTGCCCCTTCGATGCCGTTGTCAACGCGGGCGCGGTTTACCCAAAACGTAGTAAATTATAACTTTGAAAAAAAAGTCAGATTCTTACCCCTCGACAGGTTTTGGGTCGTTACAAATACAAGATTGAATAAATTATATTGAAGATATTGCCAATTGATAATTAAATGTATAACTAAATTTATATGTTCAACAAGGCCAATATAAAATAAAATTATTTGTTTTATTCACAAGCGCTTTCAGAAACTATATGTTTCTATCGTCAGGCTTTGTTTTTCAACACCAGTACAAAAAGTAAATATTTACTTAATAATAAATTTATTTGAAACTAAGTTAAAACAGATGATGTAAAAGATATACGAAAAATATATAACAAATAATATTAGAAAAAATAATCTTTTGAATTTTGTATAAATTACAGTGTTGTTCTGGATGTAATTATTTTCAGAAATTCCGAGTTTATAATTGGGCCGTCAACCGCAGTTATGTACTTGAGAATGAGATTGGATGTCCGACTAACTTTCCGAGAACAGATAATGTTTGCGACTGAGAAAGCGGAAAGGATTGTTGCCAATCTGAGCAGGCTGATGAGGAATATCGGTGGACCAGTTGACAGCAGGCAGTGAGTTCTGATGTCCGTTGTTCACTCCGTTCCTCTTTTCGGATGTGAGACATGGGCAGAGGCACTCGAAACAAAAGACTAAGAAGAAAGATGACAACAGTCCAGAGTAGAAGCGCTCTTCAGATCGCCTCGGCGTATTGTACAGTGTCAGAGCCAGCGGTCCTCGTAGTTGCAGGGGTAATTCCCATTGATCTCCTTGCTTTTGAACAGAAGCGGATCTTTGATGGGAACGGTGACTCGAGCCGTACTGAAGCCCGAGAACGCACTACGGAAGATGGCGATATCGCTGGGAGAGGGATGAACGATGAAGATGGACAGTGAGACTCATTGTCCTCTCGTCCTACAGTCATCAGCCAGCTATCCTCACAAAAATCCTAAAAACCTAGGCCCTTGTGCTGTATGTTACATCCTTAACATAAAAGTCACAATCTTAGAAACAGAAACACAATTCATAAAATGTATCTGTAAATATTTTTGTCTAAGAAAGTGTAGTATCATTAATAATAAGATATGGATAGACTTATACTTACAATGTTAGGAGGCTTAATTAGTTTATACTGGATACGCTCTTCTATAACTTTATTTTGAAGTTTATCAGGTGCATTTCTTAGGTCTATGTATCCTTTTCCAATACAACTACTGACTACGGATGAAGGGTCACAGTCGTATCCTCCATAAGTAAACACTAAAACATGTTAAAACATGCATTTAGTTGGGAGGCTCACAGGCCTTGTGGAAGGGAAAATGCCAACATGGAGGGAGTAGTATGGGTTAATATAGTATGGGTTACTAGTATGGGTTTTATATTGATGACTTTTCTGACTCTTCGTTGTTTATTGATCCCAAATATTTGTATTAAAAAAGTTCCATTAAAACCTTTCTGAAACAATATTACACAATGTTCCTGTTTTAAGAAATGGAATTAATTTTTTATATAGGCCTATGATTACAAATTATATCCCATATAATTACAAAAATACCTTAACTCAAAATTATGTAATATAGTTTTGGAGTTGGCCTACACTACTCCTCTTTGATAAAAATCTTGTCTTCCAATGATATATTCCAAACAATAATTATTTACGTTTAAACATTTTTCATCGTATATTTCTATAAGCGACAAAATTTAAATGCAACTGAACACCATATAATTAATAATTATTAATTATTCTAATACATGAACACTGCTGGTTACATTTCAGCATTTCATAGCCCAAACACTTTATTCGAAGCATACAACTATTGACTTGACACTGACTAAACTGAGGTAGTGTAGTGAGTGACACATTAAGTGAAATGACAGATCAACAAGTGGCTAATACATGTCACTTGTGCATCTATCAGCCAATGAGAGCGCTCGGAGCTACTTCTAAGGCAGCTCCCCATAAATTTGCAGGGATTGAAGCGGTAAATCGGCTGTCGCTCCCTTGCGAGATGTAAGACGGGGATGACACCAGCAATCACCATGACTGCAGGCTCGTTGACCGTGCTGTAGGCAGAAGCAACTCGCGAGGCCCTCGACACTGAATATGGGAAAGCCGGTCATGGAAGACACACCTTTCCAGCACATGGTCCAAGACCTTAGCACTGTGCAAGAGCACTGATTGGACAGCAGGCATAAGTAGGTGGTGTTGCAAGAGCAGGGACCGCCGGCATTTGTCATAAGCCTACAAAGAGCAGCGAATCCCTTAGCGCTATTACCGTTGATGGCATGGTAAGACCTAGACTCGGGACTGATTACTCTGTCATTTTTTAAGTCGCCGCAGACAAAAAACACTAATCGTTATAACTTTTTTATGTATATTTTTCCCTTTCCGATTAGCAGCAAACCTGAGTACTTTACTCGTTAAATCTAATGTTATTTAAATTGTGACGCAAAATTCTAGGGGGGGAATAAACTAGTATTCACCTAAGTCAGGCTAGGCCTACCCCTAGAACCGGCCACACTCAAATTTCTTCCCCGGAGTGCTCAGAAGGAGCCGAGAAAAATCCAGGGGTCGATACGAAGTTGTCACGGCTTTGACTGATCAATTTATTTAAATTTAATCGAAGGCTCAGAGCTCTAGAAGCGCTCAGGAAATCCTGCAGACGCCCAGTTGGAGCTATATCATCCCAGCCATCGCTTAAGTGTTTTGGAGAATTTTGCCTAACTTTTAGAATGGCTCTGTAGGGCCGACGAGTATTCAATCTTAAGCCAATGTGATATAAATACTCGTATTAAACTGTGAACTATCTGGCTAAAGTCGTTGGTAAATAATATAAAATCGAATATAAGGTAAAAGTAATAATTCCTACAGAGTCGTCGGGCCCAATCAATATAATCGAACGGAGAATTTAACGTGATAGGTTTAAAAATAGATTCAATATTAATATTCGTAGCTGTTTGATTGTTCAAATCAGCTGCTCCCAAGACTTGATCCTTTCACCCGCCAAAGACAACATAGACAACATAGAACATAGACGACAAGTCTCGGGGTATTAAAACGGTGAAAACGAGATATAATTTTAGACGTGATAATTATTTGTTAAGCGAACGGAGAAATCGTAATTTCGAAACTAATTAATGGTAATTAAATAAACGATAGCCACCGCTAGTCACTGGCAGGCAGGAACTGGCGGGTCAAGACTCAAGTTAAGATATTAAATTTAGATAATTCGAAACGGAATATTAAGAAAACGAAAAGGTATAATAAGTTAACACGTTCGCGGCGGCATGGGAGCAATCGCTCCCATACGGAACCCTAATGCCATCCTGGTGGGTGCGATCGCTCCCAAGCTGCAATGCAGTACGAAATGATTTTTCTTTAAGCTAGGATTAGAGCTAGAAACTTAAAACCTCGCACAGCACTGCTTAATAGTATACTGTATTTTTTGTGGTGTAGGTTGGTAGTAAATTTCCCCGTAAAATCCTCGTCTGACAATCTCAAAAATGTACTTTTTGTCCCGTCTTTTTCCCTCCATTTGGCAATACAATTCCAATGAGACCGGCTACGTTACAAGCAGTGCTGCTATCTGTGCGTGTTTAGCGAACTACGTCGACTCTTGTTGTAAAACAGGACATCCTCGCACGTTATTTGCTATACGTCAGACCGAAATTGGAAAGCCAATCACACGCGGCAATCGGGTTTGTTCGACGCTGAGGGCCGCGCCGCACTGGGGATACGCCCGCCATTTGACGTGCCGCCGCGAACGTGTTAAGTATGCGTAAGGTAAAACAGAAATAACGTAAAACGTAAAAAGGGGCCTAACTAATATAGTAGCTAACCTTCGTAATAATATCGTACAGTCGTAAGAGCTTCTCGTGAACAAGTCGACGGTTGAACAGCGAATAATCCTTGTCCGGCTCAAGTCCCGATTTCCTCGGCCGCGGCTCAAGCGCTGCGGTGGCGATTTCGGAAACTAGCCAACAGCTGATCGGGGATTTGCCTGTTGAGCCGGTCTAGTTGTCGTCTGTCGTTGGTCAACAAACACCATTTTGAGGCTAAGTGATGTTGTAATCGGCGTTAAATATTCGTAAAATCGGTCGTTTTAACTTTATTTGGTGAAAAGGATTGCTATTAAGAATAAATATGTAGTTGTGGGTGTGTTCGTGTACTTCACTGTTATCAAAAGTAGGCCTACGTTCTTTGGCCCATAGCCCAAGCTAGGGCCAACACATAGGCCTAGGATTAGGATGTTGTGGATAAAAATCGGGTAAGTTATGGTGTTTGTTGACTAGCAATACGTTTTTACCCCCTTTAAAATTTGGTACCTCACACCCCTTACCAACTTCACAAAAAAAGAGAAAAAAAGATTCCAAACGTAGGGGGGATGGTCCAAAGGTCTCGTAGAAGGGGTAGCTGAAGAAACGGCGACGTGAAGAAGAGGTCGTGTATGAGAGGGAAAAGGAAACGAAAAAATAAAATCTTCTTGAAAACAAAATAAAAAGGACTTCTTAAACGAAAATAAAGACCAACTGGTATAAAAACACCTCTCGTAAAATCGAAAAAAAAGGATGGACGATAAAACAAAAAAAACTTCTGAATCATCCGTAGGGGAATGATTCTTCGGCCCTCAACGTTGGTGGTAGGGCTTCAGGTCCTTCACGTGAACTACGTGTGACAGCCCCGTGCGCACGTCTCTCACCGTGTAGATGTTGGCCCCACGCCGCTCCTCAACCTCGCAGGGTCCGTCGAACTTGGGCGCGAGCTTCCCGACCACGGCGTCGGCCGCGGAAGACAGCGTGTGAATTCGCCGCAGCACGCGATCGCCGTTATGGTACTTCACCTCCCGTCGGTGGAGGTTGTAGTACCTCGCCTGCTGCTCGTAGGCGGTCTTGAGGTTGGCGTGGACCTTCTCGTAGATGCGTCAGAATTCTTGCGTTCGTCTGTCGTGGACTTCGGCGAGCGTTGGCTGTCCGTCAACGTCGGGTGTCGCCTCCAACGTTTTCCCTCGAACAGCTTTCGGGACTCTGAGTTCGCGGCCTAACGTTAACATCGCCGGCGTGTAACCCGTTGAATCGTGGACGGCGGTGTTTATGGCGAACTGGAGCTCGGCAATATGGGCGTCCCATGACCTATGATTCTCCTTCACGAACTGAGAGATCATGGTCTTCAAACGCGGTTGACTCGTTCTACCGGGTTCGATTGCGGACTGTAGGGAGCTGTGTTCGTAAAAGTTATGTCCCAATCCGTCGCCAGGTCCCTAAAGAGGTTCGAAACGAACTGAGTCCCATTGTCAGTGATTATGGACTCTGGTGCTCCGTATCGAAGGAGCATCTCTTTAGTTTTGCTGACAACGTTCTTGGCCGTTGCTGACCCGATAGGACATAACTCAACCCACTTGCTGTACGTGTCCTGGATCACCAGCAGGAATCGGTGGCCCTTGCCCGATCTGGGTAGCGGACCCACTAGGTCGGCGGACACCGTGTACCACGGACCTTTTGGAGCCCGGAAGTACATCTTCCCTGCCGGTTTCGTCTGCGCCACCTTGTACTTTTGGCAGGCATCACAGGATCTCACGTAGGCTTTCGTCTCCCGACGCCATCCAGGCCAAAAATATTCGGGCCCTACACGGTGAAGCGTTTTCTTGACACCCAGGTGTCCTGCCGTAGCGTCATCGTGGTTCTGTCGTAGTACCGCCTCTACTTGCCCTGGAGGAACGCACATTCTCCAGGACAGCTTACCACCACTCCCATGGCGTTGGGAGGTTCGGTAAAGGCGGTTCTCCACGATTTGATATCGCGGATAGCGTCGTGGGTTGGCGGTCACAGCTGCGTACAACCGGTCGTACCAATCAGTCGGAGGGACGTCGTTGGCTTCGTCGGGACGTGCGTCGGATTGCGTCGCGTCACTCGGTTGGTCTCCCGGTCTCGTCGATTCCCTGCGTCTGGTCGTGCGTCGCTCGCGAGGCGCGTCTGTCACCTCCGATGTGAGATGACTCACCGCGACCAGGCCCGATTGGCCCTTGTTGGTCACGGGTTGCCTCGACAACGCGTCGGCGACATGGTTCAGGGTGCCCTTCCGGTACTTGATCTCGAAGGTGTACTGCTGAAGTTCCATCACCCACCGCGCTAGGCGTCCGCTAGGCTCGTGTAGCCTCATTAGCCATTTCAGCGCGACGTGGTCGGTTATGGCGACGAACTTGTAACCCTCAAGGTACGGCTTGAATTTTCGGGTCGCCCAAACCAACGCAAGACACTCTAAC